AAAAAATGTTGTCAAGCTGTGGCAAGCTGTTCCTTCAAGTGGAATTCTTTGAGTACAACAGGACAACGGTGAAAATTTCCATTTACCTCCTACAGATACTGGTTTAAGAGCTATTAACATTAGAGCCTTGATAATAATTAAATACCACTTTACAGAGCATTAGTTTGTTCTGACAAAACACAGATTTTTAAGTGTCATGAGGCAAACTACTTGTAAAATGTAAAATATAATTTTCTGAAGGATCTAGACCCGAAACGTCAGCTTTCCTGCTTGGCCTGCTGTGTTCATCCAGATCCACACCTTGTTGTCTCACACTCTCCAGCATTGGCAGTTCCTACTACTTCTGTAAAATGTAATATTTATTTGGTGACATTGTTCGCAGTAAGACAAGTGATGTAGGCTTTAGAGGGACAAGTTTTTAATTGTCTCTCTCTCCAGGTATGGCCATAGTGAGTTTTTTTTTAAATGTGTTATTCATCTGCTGAACTGAAATTTCATTTAAAGCTGACTTCTGTCCTTCCTGAAACAGAAATACAGTCTAAAATCATAGTGCAACTTGGTTGGCCAGGAAGCTTTCGGGTTAGAAGCTCATTATAAATTTATAGCTCCAGGTCAGGAAAAAAAAAGACACAATCACACTCCCCACCCCAAAAGAAAGTGACATCTGCTCTCAACTTTCAGATAGATAGCTGGACAAAGGCAAACTAATCAAAGATTTTATTCGTTGGAGCTATTATAAAAACTCAATTATAAAGCAGGGAAAACCAAAACAAAAAATATTCAAACATTTACTTGTATAGTTTTTAAAGTGCTATCAAAATTTTGGTGGCCAATGTTTTCCTCTTTTTGGGATGATTATGATCCCTCAGATATAGTGTTTCAAGGTGAAACAATAAAAAACTCAAAGCTGTGACTCGCTGCAATATAACACTTCTTTAAATTACACATCTTCCTTCTCATTAGTTTAGTTTGTTTTCCACTTCAACAACTCCACGTGCAAATGAAATCATCCATTCCTATTCATCTGATTGATATCAATATTGAAAATGTTGAATTTTGAAGTTGACCACGTTTCAGAATTTAATTAATTACCATCTGACAGTTAGAAGGCATCCATTTTATATATTTACACCTCTGAGAGCAGAGGGAAGGGCCAGGAGAAAATTTACGAACAATGTAGACAATGGAAGTGCATCCATGTAAATGAAAGCATGAGGAGGAAAGCATGTAGAGTGCAAAGACAAAAGAAAGAACATTTCTTTTGAATTTTCCTGGTATGAATTTTGTAGTTGCAATGGTGACAAAACTCTTATTGACGTAATGATAGCAAATGCCAAGACAGTTGCAAATGTGCAAAGTGTGAAAATCCAAAGTTTGCTGTCAGTGATTCTACACTCCTCCAGGTGACGTGCTGTTAAGAGGTCAAACAGTGCAATTCCTAGGTAACTAGAGAATTGATAAACAAACTTCCATCTTTACAGTCTCACTATGAAACTCTTCAAAAACAAGATAGAACTTGTTGAATGGGTTGTAACTGGACTTTTAACAGTGTACAAGTTCATAATTATTACAAAACATCTTCCATGGTCCAGAAAAGCTAATGTTATATTTGTGGAGAATTACATTTCTCTATTATAATTAAAAAAACACCTAACTTACAGTATTAGTTTTATCTTAATCCAATCATAATTCATTTGCTATATGAAGCTAAATTAATAAACACTGCTTTTAACTTTCTAGTTTGCCTTCTACACAAGTACTTGAATATGTTTGGCTGCTGACTTTGCTTGCTGCAGTTGCTTTTCAAAGTGGCTAACACCACTACACAAATCTGTACAACGTGACCAGATATTAGTATCTGGATCACATATAATGGAACAGAATCTAAGTAAAATGAAATGCCAGATTTTAGGTCCTGTCAATAACTGTTTTCTTCTGTTTCCTCCTGTTGTGAGAGAGCAATCTAACTTGCATCTTTAAGCAACTACGATCAAACAAGTGTATCAAACAAATAGAAAATCAGAAGTGACATTTTGACATCACCAGAACTCATTGCACACTTACAGATCCTGCTCCACCTTCTTATCCAGTGCATACTCCAAATCCGTGACCAGCATCTTTTGATAGAGGTCCTGTAGAGCTTGCCTGGAAGTCCAGACTTCAGCTGGACCCAGCTTTGAATCTGTTACAAAAAAAAATAATTTTATATCAATCTGCAAAACAAAAGCGCATCTTTCCAGCTACATTTTTCCTTCTTGTTTGGCGTCAAAATTATAAAAACATTTTGGATGCTATGCTTTTCCTTTAAAAACAAAGGATCAGTACATTAATACATGTTTCATCAACTAAAATGATTTGAAAACGCAAGCCAATGAAACAACACAAAGTGCTACGGACCAGACCAGAATCCCCTCAAAATATTTTAAAATGGTAGTCTAACCCCTAAAAAGACCCTTCTTCTGGTTTTTCAGGCAAATGTGAAGTACCACATTCTGGAAGCAATGCAACTGATCAAACTACTCGAAGTTAAGCAAAACAATTTATTTAAACACTAGTTAAAATACAAACAAAAGAGGAATTTAGAATAACAACTCTATTGGAAAACATAACAGAACAATCGATGCAGTAGCTATTACTAATTAACTGTTCCAATATAGTAACATCCCATAAACACACTTCTTGCAAAAAACGTAAATTCAGAAAACAGATCCTCACATTCAGTTCTCCAATTCACTAGGAAAATAAATCAAGAAAATTGAGAGAGAGTAGCAGCCAGGAGACATTTACTAAAGCTTCCAACTCAGACCAACAGCTTCTGATGCTACTGAAAATCCAAAAGCCAGAAATTCTGATCCGGAGAGCAAGCCACACCATTCAGGTTGTTTTTAAAAAAAAACACCAAGGCCTCCCAAGCTGTTTACTCAAATGATCTTTACTAACCAGCTCTCCACTTTTCAACGTCTCAAAATACGCCAGGACAAAATAACCTCAAAGCTACAGCATTGTTACAAAGGTCACATAAACAAATTAAAGCAAATGGCAAAACCATATATTAAAGGAAAATGAAAGCAACATCAATGTTTTTAATGCAATCAAACAAGATCCACACACTTCAATCAATTCACAAATAAAAGCCCAATAGTACATCTGTCAGTATCTCATGAAATGACCACGTTTAAACCTCACCACTTCACAAAATAAGAACTTGGTATTCTAGTCTTAATTATTTAAGAATCCTTTTGTCATGAGCTAAGGGTCTAGGCCCAAAACGTCAGCCTTCCTGCTCCTATGATGCTGCTTGGCCTGCTGTGTTCATCCAGCTCTACACCTTGTTAGCTCACAAACAAGTCTTGATGACAAGCCTGGACAGACATAGTTAACTTTTAATATGGAGAAACAGGAGGGGTTGATAGCAAGCAAGGGATGAAGAAATGGGAAAGTGGAGAACAGTCATGACCATAGATTTTATTCAATTGTAATGTTTGCAGTTGTACACAAAGATTGATAACTATAGAAAAGAACACAAGTCGTTTGAAAAGCATGCTAATATGGAAAAATCCAGAACTATTATTGCCATATACTTTGGATTGTTAAAACACGAAGAAAATTCCAAACTTTCAAGGTTAAAGCAATTCCCTGCTTATTGTGATTATGTTATGGTGGGGAAGGAATCTGTAACTCAATCATGTTCAACACAAGTACTTGTAGTGACGTCTTGAAAAAAATGAAAAGGGACAAGCTATTCATTAAAAGTACACAACATAACACATTGTACCAGTCATTAAGTAAATGTATTTAGTGCAATATATACATTATAAACATTAATTTGATGCACAGGAACAAAAATCTCCAAAATACTAAAGATGAAATCCACTAACTTTTCATGGAGTGTTACATGGATTCTTTCACACAGTAGCGTGAACTGTTTCAGGGTTCACTCAGTCTCAGCAATCAAAAATTAGATAGACTGTTCCAATGAGTATCTAATCTCAACCACAGTTAAATGCTGCAAGTTTTAAACAGAGGTTTTCCCATGAAACGAAAGGTCAGACACCAAGATGATAAAAAAAATGAAATCCTCCGTGTGGACGTATTAACAAATTTAAAATCTATGAAATCTTCCATCTTTGACAAACCTTTAGGCAAACATTTCTCAATATATTTAACGGAAAAGTTCAATTTTTTTTCTGAATGATTGAATATGGTATTTACCAACTTAACTTGCACTAATGCCTCCAAACATTCTTATTCTCTGAACAAAGGCTGGGAAGACTGAATCACTTCCACGTATAATACTGTGTAATCTTAAATACTAAAACAAGATGTTCACTCTCAGACATTAACTGAGGAGGAAAAAGCCAAGTTTCTTACAGTGAGATACACAGGCATCTACAGAATAGGAGGCTAATTGGCCCATTGCATCTGCACAAAAGATCTGATCGCAGTAATCCCATCTTCCAGCTTTGGCCCATAGCCTTGAAGACTATGACAATGCATGTGAATATCTAAATATTGCTTAAATGTTATGAGCATTTCTGTTTCAACCACCCTTTCAAGCATTAAGTTTCAGATTCCCACCACATTGACTGAAAACAATCTCAATTCTCCTCAGGCTTATATTTCTTATCTTAAATCTTTGACCATATTGGCCCCTCGACTAATGGGAAAAACTGCATTCCTATCTACCCTAAGCCCCTCAATCAAGTCCTCTCTCAACCTTCATTGTTTCAAGGAAAACAAAACTAGCCTACCCAATATGCCCTCAGAACTCAGACCCTGTAGCCTAGGCAACATCTCAGCAAATTTTCTCTGCGCCCTGTCAAGTGCAATCACATCTTTCCTTACAATGTGGTGACCAGAATCGCACAGTTCAGCTGTGGCCTAATCAGTGTTTTATACAGTTCTGGCATAATCTCTCTGTTCTTGTACTCAATGACTAGTGACTCAGAATAGTCTAATAAAGGCAAGTGGCCCATATGCCTCAACAACTCATCTACTTGCCTCACTACCTTCGGGGATCCATGAAAATGAACACCACAGTGCCTTTGATCTTTGGTAATTTCCGGGGTCTTACCATTCACAGTGCAATTCCTTGCCTTGTAGAGAGCAAACCAGGAAGTATAAAGGAGACAAATTGGATTTGAATCACATACAGGAAGCAAAATGAAGACAGAATACTGCAGATAGGAAACAAAAATCTCCAATGTTAATTTTCTTCTGAGGTAATAAGTCTCCACAGTAAATTTTTTCAGGGCCAGGGATGTTGCCAGCAACAATTATCATTCACTCCACTGTTAAAAATATAGATTTCTGAATACAAAAGTACTGACTTTTATAGTTATTTTTAAATGCAGAATTAATGGGCAAACACCAATACTCTTTAGATTTTCATGACGTATATCTTGTTGATTTCAAAGTGAGGGGAAAGATATTCTCAAATGGAGGGAACGCAACCAAGGTTTAACAAACCGATTCCTGAGATGGCAAAACTGAGGTATGAAGAGGGACAGAATCAATTAGAACGATATTCACTGGAGTTTAGAAAATGACTTTTGGCCAGGGAGAGTTGGAGGGTTAGGGTCGGTTGGTGGAAGAATCTTGTAGAAACCTAAATTTTAACAGGACCACACAGGGTAAATGCAGGAAGGATGTTCCCAATGACCGTTGAGTCCAGATTGGGGGTCACAATCTAAGGATACAGGGTAGGCAATTTAAGACTGAAATGAAGATAAATTTTTTTCAGTGGTAGGACTGGAATTTTCTGCCACCGAAAGAGGTCAAGGGTCAAATATCGCACGTCTTCAAAAAGGAGTTAGATACAGTTCTAAGGCGTAAAGGGATCAAAGGGTCTGGGGAGAAAGCATGAACAGGGTACTGAGTCGGATGATCAGCCACAATTATATTGAATTGTAGAACAGGCTCAAAAGGGCCAAATGGCTTACCTCTCCTGCTTTCAATGTTTTCCTGAAGTAGATACTATGCAGCCAGCCTAAGCAATATCTTCACGATTGCTGCATGATCATACACAATTTAAGAGGGGACCTTGAAAAACATCTCAAGCTCATGAAATTGGAGTCATCTGAATGATGAATCCATCAACAACGATGACAACATTTGGAGGAGCAGGGTATCTCTGACAGCCACCTCAGCAGCTTAGCTTCAACTACAAATATGCAGATGCCAGAAGTTGTCAGATTTATTCTGCAAGATTGACAAGGGCTGAAAGCTTCATTACTGAAGTATTTTTTATTCATTCCTGGGATGTGGGTGTCACTGTCTAGGACAACATTTCTAGCCCACCCCTAATTGCACAGAGGGCAGTTAAGAGTCAACCACATTATTGTAGGTCTGGAGTCACATGTAGGCCAGATCAGGTAAGGATGGCAATTTCCTTCCTCAAAGGACGTTAGTGAACCAGATGGGATTTTCTGACAATTACAACGGATTCATGGTCATCATTAGACTCTTAATTCCAGGTTATTTTTTTCTAATGAATTTAAACTGAGCAATTATGTTTCCAGAACAATCTAATCATGGCATAAACAAACAGATGGGCAGTACTTTTGAGTCAGAAGAAAACACTTCTTTAAAAAGGCACTATTAAAGTTTGGTAAAACTACACATGTACTAGCCTCTACACATTACTGTCATCTGTTTCATTTGGATTACAGTTAACTGCACTTAAAAACACCATCCAAATACCATACTTGAACTTCGACTTGCTTATATTTACAAATAACATTCTCTGTGACGTGATTCAGTACGTTATTCATGCCTGTTCTCTTCAACTACAATGTAAGGTCACACAATCTTTCCAACATCTCTCCTATTATCCAGCGACAAGACTCACTGCGTGATTATATCACTTATTCAGACAAACTCCATCAGTGGATTCCTTTGTTCCTGCACTACTGCCTCAAATTTCTCATTGCAGTAATTTTAGAATCATAGAATCCCTAGTGTGGAAGCAGGTCATTCAGCCTATCGAGTCCACACCTACCCTTCAAAGTGCATCCTACCTCCCTACCCTATTCCTGTAACCCTGCAGTTCCCATGGCTAATTCACCCAACCTACACATTCTTGGACATTATGGTGAATGGCAGTTGTCTGAGGGCGGAATCAACCCAAGGCCCTGGTGCAGAGAGGCAGTAGTGCTAACTACTGCGCCACTGATCTTGACCAACTTCTTCCACATGCTGCATCTCAATGATTTCATCGACAGATAGAAGCTGAGATTCCATCAGCTTGTCATTTTGACATCCAGCTCTCCTTTACTCACAGCACCAGTTCTTCAGTGGATTGCACGTGCAAACTCAGTTACTGGGTGGTCACTCCACTAATTGTGCATCTTCCTAATATTAAGCAGATCCCATGCTTTCTATTGCAGCCCGGATATCCTCGAAAGTTGCATTTTTATACACTACCTTGACTCAGGTCTATGGGCATTAGCTCAAATCAGATAATCAGATTGGGTTATTGAACCTAGTCCGTTGTGCTCATACCTCGTCCTCAGCAAGCGACTGCTTCTAGATGCGCGCCGAAATAGATGTGATCCACTGTCTCCTTGGGCAGAATGAACACTATTCACACTTCTTGGGTGGCATTGCGCAGTCAGTTTGGTTAGACAAGATATCTGTTTATGTCAGCCATCTTTCTCATGACATATTTGAATCTGTGTACTGGTTAAACTGTCCTAGGTAAAACATTTTTACTTGAGGTTTTCTCCTTCAGCCCAGCTCCGCCTCTGTATAGTCTAGTTACAAGCTCTGGATGCTGGCCCACCTCAACTGGTTAAGTTTTGTACAAGAAAGGAAAACAGAGTTAATGTCGAGTCCAATAAGACTCTTCATTGGATTCTAAAGAATATCATGCTGGACTCAAAAACATCAATTGTCTCTCACCACAGATGCTGAGTTTCTCCAACATTTTCAGTTTCTTCTTCAGATTTCCAGCATCTGCAGTATTTTGCTTTTCTTTAGTAGATGAGCCAACTTTTGACTTCCAACTTAACACCCCAGTAAGACACAAGGGAAATATTTAAATACTGGTGACCATGGATGAAGTTGATTCCTGGAACTAAAGGCTTAAGCCACACAGGGAAATTCAGGAACGACAGCAGAAAATTCTTTCATGATTGCTACACAAGGGAGAAGGGGGATGTAATGCCTCAGTGGTGAAAGATGATCTTAAGGTACTCCAAGGACGTATGTTTTATGTACTATTAGGTTTTAAGTTGCAACTCAACTTATCAATACTAACGTGATATACAGTTTTCATTTTATAACATTATGACAGTTAACAGTCACTGGATCTTGAGGCAGTTATTTATAATCTTGAAACTACAGGCATTAAGCTCCATTCAAATCAGGTTTATAGAAATGGTATAGAATTGAGATATACAAAGTCAATCTTACCAGTCATGTCAGCCTTTAGGGCCTCTGCTTGCCTATAAAGAGGAGACACAAGAACAATATAAATACAAAAATAATCAATTTTAATTGAACACCTTAAATTTTGTGTACATCAACTGGAAAGGTTTCACTACAATAATTATTTAACATTAAGTCTTTTTACATTTGCATCCAGGAAATATCTACGTGGTTTACTGGATAATCTAACAAACATTAACTGGAATGGTGTAGTTTACATTCAATCAGCAGGGTAGCTTTAATGGAAAATGCAACAAGTTGTAAAGATCCATTCACTAAGAGAAAACTGGTGATTAACTCAAAACACAAATGCCAAATCAGATGTCCACTCCAGAAGCTAGATTCATGGGCCACAAAAGCATTGGGTACAGCATTTATACTGTGTTAAATCAGCTATTCTATTCTGCAAAATTATGAAACAGCAAAAATAATAGTGCGGAATAAGCTGGTTCAGTTATCCCAAGGAACAGGTGGTTTTATACTTGTTTACAGCATTTAAATTTGGGTCCTTACATAGCACAGAAATTATTACACCAGCAGACATTAATTATATTCATAAAAGAAACCCAAATGACATCTACAACTACCATCACCACCATCTACTGGTGTACCAACCAATCTCTAAGGACGCATTTAAGGGTTGCTCTAGTTTCATTGTTGGAACACATTGTTCCTGTAGGCTTTTGGTGCTTTTCCACCAGCCAAATTTTCAGATTTTTTTTAAACATGATATAAGTTACAGTCCACACCAACTTTCAAATGCAATGAGAAAGTATTGCAATGTTTAAAAATATCCACTATGATATCACTGAAATCTGGTTGAAGATGATTTTGAGTGAAAAAGAAATTTGATAAAGGGAAGCATCTAAAACATTTGATCCTTTGAATATAAATCAAAGGATATAACACAATATTTTCTCCATTCAAGATTTCCATAGCTTACAAAACTGGAATTGTGGATGTTTTATAACATCCAACCAATAATTTTCACTATAAATGTAAAAATGCTCCATAAATGAAGAAGCCCAAATGACATCTACAACTACCATCACATTTTCCACGTGTCCAAAGAATGCCTCTCCCGCATAATAGAACCCATTATTGATATGGACCATTTGCAAATTTCCTCAGATCTTCGTGCTGGACTTCAGGGTCAGCATGCTTTCACTTTAAGTCACACTCTTGCTTCTTGAATTAAGGGTTCCCACACAAGAAATCACCAAATAATATCAGACAAGACTTTGTTATCATAATGAGAAAGTGATGCATTAACAGAGGTATTATCTTTCCAATGAGATGTTAATTACATCTTGGATCACAAAATTCAAACCTAATAAACAATGGCAATATTCCAGTTTCTGCTTATATTGTAAGTGCCTTGCTCACTTTAACCAAGCATTGAAAAAACTATGGACTAAAACCAAATTAAGGACTTTGCAGCAATTTTGCAACAGTTTGCATGTGACAAACCAAGAAGTGTAAGAATGGCCCCAAAAGCAAATGCACAGCAAGAAAACAACGCTTTATACCACTATTAGTTATCCCTACATTCTAAATTGACTGAAACATTAGGCTCCATTCAGACTGCTCGCATTATAATCGCCTCAATTTGACCGGGATGTGAGCAAGGTTGCACTGCCTGGTTCAACTTCAGATAGTTATCCAAGCAGTGGATGATGTAAATAGCTGGACAGTGGAGAATAACGGGAACAAAGGATGGTTCTGTTTTTCAAACAGTTAGTCGGAGGAAATTTCTACTCACCCAATGCCGCATATCAGATGAGTAGCGAAACAATTTAGAGACACTGGAAAGGTCAAAAGAGATCAAGTAGAAGAACTGAACGTGTACAAGTGGAAATGATATTACTAAGAGGCAACCTGGAGATGAGAAATGGAGAGTTAAGAGGATAGCTTCGTAGGAGGACACAAACATGAACTTTGCAGGAATGGGAAGAGAAACCAATGCAAGTGAACCACATTATGCAGTCCCATTCAGCAGGCCAACAATGGAGAGGCACTGAAAGAGGATGGTGAGATCGACCATGTCAAAGCCTGCAGACAGATCAACTAGAACAAAAAGGGATAGTTTACTTTTGTCACAGTTAAGCAGAGCTGCTTTAGTACTGTTACAGGACAGAAACCTAACTAAAGGGATTTAAATATGGCCTTGCAGTAAACATGGGCATGGATTTGGCAATATTTTGTGAAGAAACTAGACTGACCTATTAAGTCTAACATCAGAAGCAGCAGATAATAGACAGCCGCAAGTTCTGAACCAAGAAACCAAATCAAATCTCTCTGGTGAACATATCCAATCATAAATGGTAGGCAATAATCAGGCAAATAATTTGTGGACAGGCTGCATAAATACCTTTACCTCCAACCATGGAGAAGTCCAGTAGGACTTAGAGATAATGCTGCATGTTTGCCAGTTACCCAGTGAATATTAATCTAGGAGTTCTCCTACTCATTTTCCAACTCCAGTCAGAGGCTCCATTTTTAAAATGAATCTCAGGTTCTGCATTCCTTGCCCAGACCGAATTTACAAAATGTTTATCTTCCTTCCCAGCCTAAAAGAACTAAATCCATGTTGTCTGGATCCAAGTTCACCAAAATTCAATCAGCACTCCCTCACACCACTCAGTCCAAATTGCTTAGTGCCTTTTGTGAACAAGGTTTGTGTTAATTAAGGGCAGCTTTGTTTTATCAATTTGAGTATTTGAATACTGCAATCCAAAACATCTTTCTTCAAGATATATAAATAAATATGTAATTCCAGAATTAAGATCTATATTGACACTTAAAAATTAAAAATTGATTTAACAAAAGGTGGCAAAATGCCACTGCAGCCAAATTATTTACAACAGCTCCATAATTAATGCTACCTTTAAGGCAATTGAAACTTCTGACAATGTTTTCACTTCTGAAGGTAGATATAACCTTTGAATGGACAAGATAGAGTTTGTTATTGCTATAGTACAAATAGACAGAACAGAGTAGTCACAGAACACTTTAACACACTGCATTTGATGCAAGTTTAAAAACAATTAATCAGGATGAATCTACTGCCCACAACATGTATTCCATTTTGATGTGCAATTTTAACTCAAAAGGTTAAAATCAATAGCCAATTTTGTAATTAATCTTTCACACCCAGGAAAGACGCCAATTAGCCAACAGCTGTAAATGGCTTCAATTTAAATAGAAGCACCATCACAACAGTGAGTAGTGATTGCATTTATGCTGTGTTTCAATTGTAATATGAAGTGCTAATACTGTCAGTAGCCAATACAGCACATCCAAAGTGAGTCACTATTGAGTTAAAAAATTCAGGAGACATATGATCGGTCAAGCCTGCTCTGCCATTTAATACGATTTTGATATTGGGCTTAATCCCTGCTTTCCCATTTGCTTGTCATAACCCTGGATTCCCTGAGATATCATGAGTGTGAGCATATTTAAAACCTAGATTGATAATGATGGAGCATCCAGAGCCTTCTCGCCTAGAAAATTCTTAAGATTCACAACACTTTGACTGAATATCTCATCTCAGTCCTAAATAATCAATCCTTTATCCTAAAGCAATACTTTCTTGTTCTACATACACCATTCAAGAGAAACAAACTCTCAGCATTTACTGACAAGTCACTTCATAATGTATCCAGCACCTCTCCACCATCATAAGGCACAAGGAGTGGTGTAATGGAGTGCTCTGCACTAGTTTGACAATACTAAGCATCCACAACAAAGCAGCCCAGTTGATTGGTACCAGCATTGCAGCCACTCCGAGGCACTTCACAGGCCAATCGATGTACCTATGCAATGACTTTCCCCAAACAAAATTGGAGGAAACATTTATGGCATCCCATCCATCACCTTCAGCGTTCAGTCTCTTCACCACCAATATAAAGCAGTACCACCCACAAGATGCACTGCAGCAACTCTCCTGGGGTCCTTTAACAGAACCTTCTACTACAGAGAAGGACAACAGTTGCATAGAATATCACTACCTGCAAGTCATCACAAATTTGACTTTGAACTAGATTGCAATCTTTCACTGTCAATGGGTAAAAAAAATCTGAATCTCCTTTCCTAACAGCACTGTGGGTTACCCATATCCCAAGGACGGCAGAGGTTCAAGAGGATAACTCAACATAAGCTTCTCGAAGGCAATTTAAGGGGAGGGGCATAAAGTGTTGGCCACAACGCTTGAATAAACATTAAAAATGCTTTATTAACTAATCTTTCAACCTGGCCTGTCACCTTCAATATGTACACATTGATGGAATTCCTGGTTTCAAAGTTCATATTTTGAGGCAGACCCTAATTGAAATGGCAAGCCGTAAAGGGAAACCAAGACTGAAATCACAAAAGGACACAGGACTAGACCTCAGATCATGATTTCAATGGAGGAGTACAACAGGTTGAAGATAACATAAGCCAGAAGCTCAGAAAGGGTTAATGGACAATTACGTCAGTTGCTTTTTACTTAACATCATATCGATGGATCAATGCTATCCAGACTGTTATAGTAGAATCGGTTCTGCAGACTTGCCATTTTTGGTGAAGACTGTGCCTGGAAAACTTAGGTTGGTTGGGTGCTACTGTCAGTTGTGCCACAGGGTAAATCCTAGAACAGGTGCTAAAATTCTTCATGAGGAAGAAAGGTTTTGCGATGGACAAAGATAACATGTATACCGAGTGGACTAGGTCTGCCAGAATTGTTTGTCATTAAAATGTATGATTTGTAGTTATAATCAACACAATTCGTCAGTTAATTCAGGACTAATATGTGTTGACTGAGTTTTACTTTCTAGGTGGTTACCCAAGAATGTATTTAGTCTTTCCCGGTTTTTAACTGTGATTAATAAACCGGTTTGAAATGATAGAGTGAAACCACAAGATTCTTTCAGTAAATACTGGAATTTTGGATTTCTCTTTTTAAAAAAAGTGTTCAGTCTTAAACCAAGGTCATAACAGAACACAAGCCCCTCTGCTCCTGCACCCTGTACAGACT